ATTAGAATATTACTGAAGACCAATAAAAACAAAGGATTTATAGAAATGTTGGCCAACTGAATATAATATACAAGTTTCACTTTTTAAATGGAATTACTGAAATAAATCTACTTTTTCATGATATTCTAATTTTACGACCAGCACCTGTATATTATTGAGAATGCAATCTGGGTAAATTTACATGTGAGTGCACTTAATAACTATACATTATATTCTTCTGTTTGCTTTATCAGAACAGAAAAATTGACATTCTGTAATTAAAATGAAACATTTAACTACCTTGTTTGCTTAAAAAGATTGCAAAGCCAGTGCTTTGTTCCCCAAACAGCTTAGACTGTACAGAAAACTCTTCATTTTTATGACGTGCACAATAAAAGGTCAAGTTTCATAGCAAACATCAAGAGGCTGGCAGCACTTATTAAACATGCGACCTTGTTCAAAATATTTATCCTGATATCACTGTCATGGATACAACTAGAGATAGGAAGCACTAGTTAAACAGACACGGTGTTCCAAGGAGGATACATAGACATGTCCATGATTTTCTATATTGAAAAAAGCTACTATGTAATAAATGCACTGTGCTTAAAGCTGATACATTTTCATACAAACACAAATCCTCAGGCTTCAAACTGCAGTATCAAAACAAAGCAACCTTTAACAATGTAAAAAAAAATACTCGGAAATAATTAGGTCTTCATTAAGCTGAGTATGTACCGTAAAGTCACAGCAGAGTATAACATTATGTCAGCTGCTAATGATCATCTGTGCTCAAGACGTAATTGTGGCTGCATTTTCACCAAAAATTAAAAAAGGTAAGATTTAGCTCTGCAGTTCACCTTAGGACAATTACTGAGCTTTTTTAAAAACTCTAGTATAAATAATCTTGACAAAGGCAAAGAAAAACAAAAAAATCTACCCAAAAACCTAAAACGTTAGATGAAGTTCTTTTTATATATAGATATGAATGCAGAATGAAAAATAATTGGCTTATATCAAGAAATGTGTAGCAAAAAAGCATTGGGGGTGGTTTTACATCATTCCCAAAAACCAAAGTTAATGCAAGTAGCTGAAGGTTTTATATGTAATTTTTGCACGTATCACATTATCAAATGTTAAAAAAGGGCAATATTATGTGTTTCTCAGGCATACATTTAAATACAATACCATAATAAAGTATCTATGTCACCTTTAGCTGTTATTATAATGCTGTTTTTATGTTTAAATAGAAAATAAACTTATCTTCTCACCACTTCCTCTTCTAAATGCCTTGAAATTGGCCTCTGTCTCTTTAAGAACCACCTTCACCTTCCTCTTCTGCCTGGGGGTCGCACTCATGGGGGGGGGATGGGTGGCTGCCATGATGCAGTTTACTTGGCATCTGAAAATACATTTCCTCAAATGTATTTTTAATCTGAAAAGAGCTTCACTGAGTGAGAAGTAACGTTAGGAGCTCCGCAGACAGTTTAAGTTTCACTTTCACTTTCACCTGAGAGCTAGCAGGAGTCATGGGTGGGGTGTATGGGGAGGGAGGGGGGGGGGCGCTCTGCCATGAGGAAGTTCGGCTTAAAGACACGTCCCAGGGGCATTTCTGGTCCCCACCTGTCGTTTTGCTCCTCAGCGTGGCTTCCTAAAAACGCTGCAGGATTTCTCAAACATGCATGAATGAGTCAAAGCAAGGCTTTGGGCATGTTTTTTATGAGAGTATAACATTATAACATGATATAAAACTCAAAAAAGTTGATTTTACATGAAATTGCCCCTTTAAGCCAAACAGTTGGTGTAAAACTCTCCCTGCTAAACACATACTGCTTTCTTATTAAGCTCCTTAAGACACCTTTTAGCAAAATCTGGCAATTTTACTGCCTTAAAAATTTCCGAGCCCAAGCCCTGAACGTCCTCGACCTCTGGCTGCTCAGTACAATCTAAGAACACATGATGCAACCTGTCACATAGCTCTGTCAAAAATAAACCCCAGTATATCTGCCACAGCCTGCGGGCGAGGGGGTGGAGTGTGGGAGATCACTTCTGTAGTTCAACCACAGCTGTGCTTTGTGGGCATAAGCGGACAACGTCAAGGGGGGTGGGGGGGGCTTCTTCTAAAGGAGGAACTGCCAGCTGTGTAAGGGAAGCAGCCGTGAACACAGGGGCTGTTGACAGAAGGCAGATGTGTCTCTGGATGCATGTGCAACCTGAAAAAAAGCCTGACTATATGGTGTCTTTGTTTCCTCCTGTGTATACCTCTGAGCATAAATGGTTTGTTTGCCTTTGTTGACAATTGTTTCCATGATGTCTGCTTTAGATTTGAATAATAATATATACAATAATAGATTATATATAATAGATTTGCCCAACCTGACAGATTCATGTTGCTAATAGGTTAGATCCATATGTTAATTAATCTATAAAAATGTATTAAATAAAGTACAGAAGTGTAATTAAAACTTCTGAGTCATTATAACACAGTATAAACTCTACTGTGAGTTTAAAAGAACGGTGAGGGTTGAGTCTGGTTCAGCAGACTCAACGAATGCTTATCATTGTTACGTTTGTCTGGCCTTCCTCACTGTGATGACAGAAAGAAAAAAAAAACTCAACACTGCAGGCTACAGCTGGTGGAAAGCCTTGCTCAATAATTAATAAAGCTGCCAATAAAGAGGGGCTGATAAATGACGTGCTTTTTAGAGGTTAAAAAGGAATCACGTTATGCAGAAATCACTTTTTAAAAATGTGAAAAATGTTCAATTGACTACACTTTTCAAATGGTGCGTCTGAATTATAAAATGACTCATGCTCTTACAGTGGGGGCAGATGAGGATTTTGTCAAGCTTAGGTGGCAGCTTAGGTGTTCAAATCAACACTGTGTCGGGTTTTAGGAATTAGGATTTACAGTTCACATGATGGTGCACATTCGGTTAGAGACAAAATACTTGATTTGAGCTTACAGTTTAATTTTACTGGGTCACTGGATATAAAACAAAGGCTGAAATATAGGTCATGTCAAACACTGTATATTGGGTTTAAGATAGTTGTGATGGAAAATTGTTTGTATCTTTAAAACAGGTCAAAGGTTCAAAGATTGGAGCTATTCACAACATTATGTCACATCTAATGCGCTGCAATGCAAAGAATACCAACAAACTTTAAGTAAAACTGTCTGCGATAGAAACAGACATGGTTCTTAAAAACTGTACTTCAATCCAAGGAATAAGATTATAGAATAATCTGGAAGATGGTGTTAAAAACACCAAATAAGTGGGTGTATTTAAGAGAATGATAACGCTTAGTTTGTTGGAGAAATATGTAATGGTATAATGTGCATTTATGAGCTTTTGTTCTAGGAGCAGGGGCAGAGTCTTGTCCTTTGTGACTCCTCCCCCAGTTTACCCGCCCGGACACTGGTGGGTCTAGGAGAAAAGTCGATGCCTCTTTGTGGATCTAGGGCGATGGGTCAGACTCTCACAGTCATTGAAGGGGGGGGGGGAAGTGCGGGGCAGCACTTGCAGGCTCACCGTAGCAGGAGAGGAAGGAGGAAGGGGGGGGGGGTTGAGGAAGCTCCGTGAGCCAGGCCTGCAGTCACTCGAGAATGACTGTCAGCCAGTGGATTGATGGGTGGCCGGTGGTGCTGTTGCTGCTGAGTCTGACCTGCCTCTTCCGAGGGCATCAAGCGAGAGCTTTGGGCTCGACCTTCAACTGCCCTCCTTCCGACAGCCGCTCCCTTCGTGAACCCCAACTCTCGTGCAGGCGTAGTAGCACCGGGACGCCTGAGAGACCTGCTGGGCACTGTCGTTTCTTCGGGCAGCGCTCTCTTTGTAGGATGTGCACTTCTTAGTGTGGTCGAGATGAGATTTTGGGACCAGTAAAAATAGGTCTCAAGGGAACTGTTTTTTACAGCGAAGAGGTATTCTACCTCCCCTCTGTGACTACTGAACCAGAGAAATGACTCCTATGTTATAATCTGACCTCTTTTTTGTTACTAATCACTTTAGAATAACCACACTATTATAAAATAGGCAATTATCGTGTTATTTTAGATTAACAAAAACTCCCCTGTAATCAGAGAAAAATGTTAAAAAGGACAATCAAAAATTATCAATGTCCAGTCAGTTAATTTGTCTTTATAATGCTCGCATGCAGTTTAATAGNAGATTTTGGGACCAGTAAAAATAGGTCTCAAGGGAACTGTTTTTTACAGCGAAGAGGTATTCTACCTCCCCTCTGTGACTACTGAACCAGAGAAATGACTCCTATGTTATAATCTGACCTCTTTTTTGTTACTAATCACTTTAGAATAACCACACTATTATAAAATAGGCAATTATCGTGTTATTTTAGATTAACAAAAACTCCCCTGTAATCAGAGAAAAATGTTAAAAAGGACAATCAAAAATTATCAATGTCCAGTCAGTTAATTTGTCTTTATAATGCTCGCATGCAGTTTAATAGAATTTGCAAAGACAGCCACAACTGATCATACAAATTAATAACATTGATTAATAATAGATGGTGAATAAAATAAAACACTCTAAAATGCTAAGCTAACTTCCTGATTAAAAATGTGGCATTCTGTTAATTTCTTTAGAAGGCAGGATAAAGCAGTCAGTTTTACCCCCATGAGGTCGGACGTTGTTTGAAAAGATCTCTCTCAGTGATGGGCCTTAATCCAAATTATGGTCTTCGGTCCTTTTGAGCTCAGTTGAAGAGAATTGATCAGCTTTTGGCCCAACGAGAGAAATGAATTTCAGGTCCGGTCTTGGTTCTGCTGCTCTGAAGTCCTGCTCCTTGAGCTGTTCCTTCTTCAGCTGAGTGACACGAAAGACCCCGTTGTGGTCCAATTCAGGCCTTTTATCTTCCTGTGTAAACTTGTTTCCCGCCTGGCCTTGGGCGATCATGTGTCATGTGTTTTTCACGGTATTTTTCCATTGTGAAACAACCCTCAGTACTTCTCCTTCTTTGGGCCCATTAGGTACTTTTTCTGCGGTGTCAAAAGTCCATTTTATCTGTTACAATCATCATTTCTGAGAAGGTCTTTGGTTGCACAAGGTTTCACGTGACATTAGAAAGGGGAACTGAAGGCTTACTGACCGTTAGATAAGATGCCAGGCTTAGCTCACATAATGCTCTACTTGTCTACACATGACTGGTTATACGTTCCTTCAACTAACCCTACAGAACATGCTTTATACTCTAATCTGCCTCAATCACCATCTTAACATTCTTAAAACATAATACACAAGTTTATAAGTCATCAAGAATCACAGTACATCAATTAATAGAACCACAGTAATAATAATAATCATTGGTTAGGTTAGATATACTTTTAAAGTTGATTACATTATYTCTTCATATTTCCTCCTGCTGCCGTCTCAACCGCTTCTCCTCTGGACCTAGATTCTTCTTATGATATCTCCTTTTCTTTTCCTGATCCCGTCTCTGTGGGGGAAAGAACTCTCTAGGCCTGATTCCACCATTATAAGCATCCTGAGCAGTGGGCCCTCTTGACAAGAGCCAGGGGGGGGGCCAGGGGTGGCCATGGCCACCACAGACAAATATTAGGCCATCCCATTGGCCACCCTGCTGCACACACCCCTTCCACAGTGAAACAACCTTTAAGGGTGTAATAATCCTCCTGAAAAGTTGGTGGTAATGTATAACAGTTTGAAACATTACCAAGCTCTATTAGTGAAGAAGAGTAATGATAAGGAAGATATGGTTTTCTTTATATGCAGAACATATGCCTATGTAATCTGACTTATGGTGTCAACTTTTGAACTTATGGTAACAAACGTTTTTGTTTTATTTTATTTTGTTTTTTTGTCACTATAACACTGTCATTTTATGTTCTGAAGGCTGCACAATGCTCTGTGTTTGGTTATAAGTAGGCCTATCACTAAATCAGAAAAAGTGAAATGCCCCTCTAAATTCACTGTTGGTGGTTATCAATATTGCACCTGTTCATTGGATAAAATTATTTATGTTAGTTTTAAACATGCAGTTGAGTGTCATCACTATTTGGCACAATGACGTGTTAAAATTAAAAATGAATCAATGAACAATATAAATGTAAAAAGCACCCCTATAATCATTGCACATGATAAATTGTGGCACATAATTAACGTTATCTCAGCTAAAGCAGTGATTTTAAAAACAGGATTATGGAACTAGATTAATGATGAATCTGTCTATGAAATAATTATTAAATCAAGTGCTAATTTATGTACCGGTAGATAAAAGTATGTTTAACTACCTGGTAAAATACACCAGAATGCAGGAAATGGCATCTATTTTGTTCAAAATTTTCTGGGGGAGGGCTCCCTGACCCCCCCAACAGTATGTCCCCCACTTTTAAAATGGTTCTGACACCCATGTTTGTAAGGTAGTCACTGCCTGTATAAGGACATAAGGAAATGACCAAAACACAAAGATTTGCAGAAAATTTCAATTAAAAAATGATGTAATTTTCCTGGCCACCCCTGTGTGAGTAGTGGTCCCAGTCTGGCCACCCCTGTGTGAGTAGTGGTCCCAGTTTGGCCACCCCTGTGTGAGTAGTGGTCCCAGTCTGGCCACCCCTGTGTGAGTAGTGGTCCCAGTCTGGCCACCCCTGAGAAAAATGTCTGGCTCCGCCACTGTCTAGGAGGAGAGTGTGAAGCGGGAAGAAACTTCAGTTACATGTCACTCAACACTCTGAAGTGCTTCCTGCAACTTTCCTGCTTTGATAGGATTTACACAGCCCTAGATAGTGCTGTACCAAACGATTATTTTCTAATCGATTAATCTAACGA